CAAAAAAGACCAAAAAGAGAAAAAGATTAGAATGGACAAAAAGAATGCTGCTCTGGTCACTTGTTACTGGCTGCTTGTCATTTGTTGTCTCCTTACTACTTTGCTGCTTTGCTTCCTTCTGTCCACCATGAGTTGTCTCTGCCCCACCACGCTGCCTTGGAGCCAGCTGACTATGGACTGAAACCTCTACAAACTGTGAGCTAAATAAACCTGTCCTTTAACTTTGGGTGTCAGGTATTTGGCTCAGCAATGAGAAAAGTAACATATGACGGGGACAACACTTAGGTAATGTGGAGGCAGGAAAGGTGAATCACATGCTGACCCAGAAGTAGGCAGTCTGGGACCTGTGCTCTCCGGGGCCTGGTGAGAGTGACACTCATTCATAAGAGCGCCTGCGGCTGGGAGAAAGATGAGGCTTACTCCTCGTGACAGAGGAAGAAACTGAGGCTGGCGAGCAAGGAGCGGCACTGGGCTTCAGGCTGGCTATTTTCTGGGCAGCTAGTGCTCTCTGAGCTCCTCGTCCTCCTCCCAGAAGCAACCATCTGGGCACCAGTTTCAGGCTATGCTCCATGCCAGGCACTGAGCCCTGATTGTCACCACTTCAGAGTAAAGGCAGCAGGCCTGAAGGTCCCCAGCCTGAGGATACCTCTGGCCGGGTGCCTGAGTCAGACTGTTCAGGTTTCTACCACTTGCCCTTTGCAGTACAGGCTGTCATGAGAGGGCCTGAGATGCCTCCAGAGCTAGGGGGTTTTGCATGGGATGCTTTGTTCTCTTGTCTGTGTCACTGGGGCCCAGGCAAGTGCCACCCATGAGAGGTTAGTCCTTGCTGGTACCACAGGTACAGGCACTGTGGAGACCCTGAGCTCTGACCAAGCCATTGCCATCAACAGAGTGGCAAGGCCAGTAGCTCATGCCGTGCATGCTTTTACTGTCTCACATCCCTTCTGCATTTGGACAGTACCAGGAGCTCGGGAAGGGATGGCCTAAGTCATTCTCTGCCTAGAGGAGGCCAACTTGGCTCAACAGAGAGCAGAAAGCACTTGATGAGGGAGGCAATGGGGTGGCGTGGGCTGTTAGATTTTTGAGAGGTGTGGGGACATTCAGGGACATGGTCCATTTTCTAGAGGATACCTGGATGCTGAGTGAGGGAGAGGCCAAGGTAGCACAGGATCTCCAGGCCCCAAGGTTTCTTTCCCAGCCCTGCCATTTCCTGCACTGTCAGCTTGGGCAGGGTCTCTGAGCCCAGTGCCTTCTGGGAGACAGGTAGTGAGACCCCAGGTTCCTGGACCTGGTCCTTCAGGTGGGCATCTTGGGCAGTCAGCACCCAGGTTCCCCATGAAGAGGCACAGTCTGAGCATAGCCCTGCAAGGCCTATAAAGGCAGGAGTAGACCCTGGGTCCCTCTTCCTCACTGAAGGTACTGACTGGTGATCAAGCCAGCAGGCCAGTGGCAGGAGGGGAAGAGTGTCAGACCCAGAATGCAGGACTCACTCCCTCTGTCCCTCTGGTTCTTAGGAACCTACAAGGGAGAACAGTGGGTGGCACATCTCTGGGAGCCGAGAAGTGCCCAGAAGCTGGAGGGAGGGAGGTTTCGACTGTCCACTGACCCTGTCCTGCTGCGCCTGTGCTTTCCTGGCAGTGCTCACCCTCCATATGGCAGTTGCTGGAGTTTGGTGGCTTTGCCTGGGAGCCCTGAAACAGCTTCCTCCGTGGTGATGGTGGGGGGGTGTGCAGCGCGGTAATTATAGACAGCCCTCACTGGTCAGCCCAAATCAGTTCCCTCCTTCCCAGTGTGGCTCAGAGCCAGGGCCTGGGAAGTGTGCAGCAGAGGCAGCTTGGAGGAGGTCAGTGGGGGCGGGACTGTCAGCTGTCACTTGCACTGCCACCCAAGCCCTTCAGCAGGAGGCCCAGTGAGCTTTTCTGGAGGCAGAGGGAGAAGGCCTAGGCTATTTCTTCAGGGGCTTGCAGGCTTAGGAGGCCACCCTTCCATGGGCAGCATGAGCCCAGCTGGGCCAGGTTAGGAAGCCTGGGGTCTCTAGAAGCCAAGCGATAGCTTGGCTTGGGTGGAACTGGGACATTTTCCTTCCGGTCACTTTCCTGTTAAGTTAAAATGGGTCCCAAATCCTTATCCTGAGCTCCAGAGTGCTGCATTCCCTGCCTCCTCCTCTCTCCTGGTTTCTTGCTGCTTCTCGCACCATAGCCATCATGGCCCACTTGTCTTCCTTAAACTTGCCATGTGTATTCCTGTCTAAGGGCCTTTGCACCTGCTGTGACTACTGTCTGGCATGTTCTTCCCTTTCTCCATGCGAGGCTCTTTAGTCACTGAGGACTAAGGGTCAAGGGCTACCCCTCCCCCAGCCCCTGGCAGGCAGACCCTCTGAGCTGGCTTGTTGATCCTGTTTACTGAGGAGCAGGCCCTTCCTCTTTGCTGTGATCTCCAGTACCAGCTGCATAATAAATGTTCAGATATACACCCTCCCCCATCCTGCCAGTTAAACCTCTGCAAGTCTCTTTCCCCCTGTAGGGACTTCCCTTCCTCTCTAGCAGAAGATGATGCCACTCCAGAGATAAGCTCTTGTCAGCAGCAACCAGATCTGAGTATTGGGAGGGAAGGCAGGCTGGGGCCCAAGCAGGTGCTCATCCCCTGGCTTTTCCACTCCACAGTCGGAATGGTTGATGCAGCTTAGGCTGGGATCAGAGCTCTTCAACCCAGGCAGCTGACGAGCTTTGTGTCCTCTTTCCCTTTGAGCCCAACAAACTTGGCCTGGCAGACACTGCTCATCGATGCTCACTGGCTTTGTGCCTCTGAGTTTCTGCTCCGCTGGGAGCCTGAGCTCTTTCAGAGGCTGCCTGGGCTGCACAGGACAAAGAGGGGAAAGATGGGCTGGCAGCATTGGGTGGGCAGACAGGTGATGGAAGTCTGCACCTGTCCCTTTAAGAGAACATTCCGGAAGCTGAGTGTAGCTCAGTGGTAGAGTGCCAGCCCAGTTTGTGCAGTTCCATCCCCAGCATCACAGCCAAAGAGAACATTCTGAAGGGAGAAGGGCCTCCTGAGGTTTTGAATTCTGCTAGAAACTTAGACATGTTCCTCACCTCTCCACAGCCAGGAGAGGGCCGGGAAAACGTGTGTTGGCCACCTGGGGGGAGCTTGTGGGTGAGCTGGGGACAGTGGGGGGCAGAATTATCTGAGATGAACCTTACCTGGCTGATGTAATTTGGACTCTGGGGCTGGGGTTCTAATCCCTGCTGGCCGTCCAGCACCCACTTCGGTGTTTGTTGGCTGATTGGTAGGTAGCCCGAGTTTTCCTCCCCAGATTTGCTCAGTCATCTGAATCACCTGGGTCCCCAAAACCCCAGCTATTGGGAGGCAGAAGGAAGTAGGAAGGTTGTTAATTTGAGGCTGCCCTGTCTGACACTAAAATTTAAAAGGGGTCTAGAGCACTCCCTGATAGCAGGGGGAGTGTCACAGTTCCAGACCTCCTGAGCACCATCTTCAGGCACCTGTGGTCAGTGTGGGCAGGTGGCCAGGACTAGTACAGGCCAGCTGACCTGAGTGTAGGAAGGAGCAGTGAAGAGGATGTGTGCAGCAGAGTGGCAAAGTACCCAGGCCTCCCTTTTCCCCCTTCTTTTTTTTCCTTTTTTCTTTTTTGGTATCAGGAGTTGAACTTTCAACTTCATGCTTGCCACTGGCAGGTACTGTGCCACTGAGCTATATCCTGGCCCCCCTTTTCCCTTTTTAAAGAGCCAACACAGCTATTAAGTCTTAGTGGGAAGAACATGGTGGGGCTCCTGAGTGTGAATTTTATTCTCTGGTGATGTGCGTGGTGGGACTTGGAATGAGTACAAAGACCACAGACTTCATGGCTTAGGCCTGGGGGGGTTTAGGGTGGAGTGGATGGACTTCGGGGCTGAGCTGCTAGTGAAAACCCTCCAGGTCAGAAAGAGGGCTGTCTGTGCAGCTTGCAAGTTGAGGATCTACGGTAAAACTGCACAAAGAGAGTTCCTTTTATTTTTCAAAACAGCATGTTCCCTTGTGGCTGGAGATGTTGTTCAGAGGTGGAGCACTTTCCTGGCATGCACAAGGCCCTGATTCCATCCACAGAAATTTTAAAAATAGTTTTAAGTAATGCTGTGCCAAATATCCTTGTGATTTTTCTGATTCATTGTATAGGATAAATTGCTAGGAATGTAATTCATTGTGGAACTACAGGGTAAATACAAAGACTGATAGTAAAATGTACTTTTTCCTTGAGTGTGTGCAGATGGTAAAAACCATTAGGCAGCACCGTGCAGGCAGTGTAGAAGTCTGCCTCCCACACCTGGCCTAGTGCTGTAAACTTCACCTTAGGGAAAAACGCTGTCACTAGCTTCTTGTGGTTTGTCTGGAAGTATTCTGTGTTTATGTAAACATGTATGGTTCTATTCTTTTCATCCTCTATTTTCCTTATTTTGGCACATGAGTGAAAGCATTTTGCATTTACGTCTTACACTAGTGCATCTGAGCATGGTTGTGCTGTGCTGTGCTGTGCTGTGCTGTTCTGCCCATGCAGGATGGGTAAAGGTGGCAAGGACTTGGAGGAACACTGGCTGTGTGCAAGGCACTAGGGGAGCAGCAAGGTGTCAGTAGCTGGGTACATCCCCCAGAATGCTCTGCAGGCTATGGGAAGAGGTGCTGGCAGAGCGCTTGGCACCCTCTGCTCACCCTGCCACTCACGAAGAGGCTGTTGGGCTGCATGTGGAGGTCAGGAAGCCCTCACTGAGCTGGCGGCCACCCTAGTGTCCCTTCAGGAGGGCACCACAACCATGCGTCCCTTGCAGATTGTGCCTTGGTGCACAGGGCCGCCCTGGGAGGCTGGGGGAGGTGGTTTCGTATCGGTGTCAGGGAGGGGAGGGTGTAGGGGTAGGAGCACATCTCTGCTGTCACCTGGCAGAACGTGTGTTCTCTTTCTGGTATCAGACTAAATAGTCTCCTTATGCATTTTCCTTTTTATTTTTCCTCAGAGGCTCATCCAAAATAGAGGAAGCATGCGAAATGTACGCCAGAGCAGCAAATATGTTCAAAATGGCCAAAAACTGGAGTGGTATGTGCTGTCTGTTGGCGTGCTTTCTCCCCTGCCCCTCAGCTTCCCGTCTCAGGCCTGGCCTAGGCCGGCCCGGAGGCCCCACCGCCCACTTGCAGTAGGGCACTAGGCCATGTGGTCCAGGTGGAAGGGTAGAGGTCAAGTAAGGACAGAAAGGACAGAGGACACCGTTGAGTCCTGCTAGACTCATGTGGGTGAGCTCTGGGAGATTTCTCCCTATATTGAGAATTTTAGGTTTTTCTGGAAGCAATCTTCTGGCTTCCATTGGAGTCCAAATCCTGGGCTAGGGGAACAGGCAAGAGGTTCCAATAATAACATTAATGACACCCATCGTTTCTGGGGCACTCTCCTAAGTCCATCATGCATAATTTAATTGACTTGTCCCAGCTACCCTGAGTGTGCCATTAATATCCTCATTTACCCTAAGGCTGAGGCAAGAGAATCCCTGAGAGTTCAAGGCCAGCCTGCACAACATAGTGAGACCTTGCCTCAAAAACAACGCACAAAAAAACAGACTGAGATGCTGGGGTGTGGCTCAGCACCTTGCCCAGGCTACTGTGACGAGTAGGCAGCACAGCCAGGATGGGGAAATAGAATCTGCTCTGAGGGCCCAGGCACTTCACCCGATGAGGCAGCAGGCTCCCGGAGGGCTGTAGGTGAAGTTCTGCTTAGAGCCCATGGCCCGAGGAGAGCAGTAGTGTTCCAGCACACTTAGCCCAGTTAGTGGTAGCTTCCAATGTCAGCAAGAGTGGGTCAAGGAAATGGACCAGGGAAAAGTTTGGGGACCTGGGAGAGCTTTTTGGACATAGGAGATGGGGCCTTGGAAGTGGAGCACAGAGGTGCAGGGTAGCTTGGGCCAGCACCATGACTGGAGGGCAGCATTGGCTGGTCTCCTGGAAATTAGAAGAGCATTCTCTGACATTCAGCAAAGTGCACTGCACATACTGCCAACTGCTGCATGTGTTTTTATGCTCCCAGGCTGACAGAGGGCCTTGAGAGAAGGCAGCCTATTTTTCAGCTGCATACATGTTGCTTTTCCCCTAAAATGTGGTAGCATTCACTCTTCCTGGGTCACTTTCTCCCTGTTAGCATCCCTGCTTTTTAAAATTTAGGGCTTGGAGCTGGGGATTTAGCTCAGCGGCATAAGCACCTGCTTTGCAAGCAGGCAGTCGTGAGTTCGATCCTTGGTACCAATAAAAAGAAAAAAAAAATTAGAGCTCAAGATTTGGACCTTTCAGTGAGATCACAGTGAAGCCCCAGAGAAGGGAGGCCCTGATGCTTCCCAGAGCTGGTTTAGATGTCTGGACGAATGGCTGGGGACCTACAGAAAGTACCTGTGGCTCAGGGCAGGTAGGCGCCCTTCTGCATATCCAGGAGCTTTTTTTTTTTTCCCAAATAGGGTCTCACTGTGCAGTTTAGGCTGCCCTTGAACTCACTTTGTAGCCCAGGCTGGCCTCGCACTTGCAGCGGTTCTCCTGCCTCAGCCTCCCAAATGCTAGGTTATAGCATGTGCTACCATGCCCAGTTTGCCTAGGAGCTTTTGCGGTCCATAAGCTATTTCCCCTTTTGGGTTGGGGCCCTAGCCCCCCAGGGTGTCTCACAGTGTAGTGCTCTGCTCACTATGCAGTGTGCCAGAAGCACAGGGCTAGAGGATTTGGCAGAAAGAGTGTTGGGGAGCTGGGGAAAAGAAATAGACTGGGAAAGGGGAGCAGGTGGACAGGTGTTAGATAACTTCATCCTGTATGCCTCTCTTCCTGGGACACCCTTCTGAGCTTGTCCCCTGTCACCCCAGCCTCCACTTTGCCTTCACTGGAGAGGACTGTCAAGCCAGTGGGTGCTGGAGCCTCCGCACCTCAGTCTGATATCCTTCGCAGCTCTCGGCTCTATCCGCCTTATCCCAGCACCTTCACCAGTGGTGGCCCTGGAGATGTTGCAAAACCAGCATGAAGTATATAGGCCACCCTGAGGCTCCCCTGGGCTTGTTCACCTGGGCTGACTTCTCTCTGGACCTTTTTCCACGTTCTTAAGAACCCAAGCCCCATCCTGGACAGGGCCTATATGCAGCCACTGAAGCTGGGCTGCTCTTGTCTCTTCCAGCTGCTGGGAACGCTTTCTGCCAGGCTGCCCAACTGCACCTGCAGCTCCAGAGCAAGCATGACGCAGCCACCTGCTTTGTGGACGCTGGTAATGCCTTCAAGAAAGCTGATCCCCAAGGTGAGAACCCCCAGGGCCACACTGACCGCCAGTGCAGCTGAGCATTCTCAGAGTCCTCAGGTGTCCCTGTGACTGGATTTTTCTAGTGGCCACCATGTGACAGGCTCAGAGTCTGAACCTCCAAGCTGGCTCCCCTCCTGAGACTGGCACTCTGTCCTGCTCCAGTCCCGCCTTCCTCCCCAGGGATACGCAGCCTGTCCCTCCTCTCCCCTCCCACCCTTCCCCTCCGGAGCATTTGGGAGTGGGAGTTACATTTCAGACCCTCCGCCTGCCAGGGAGCAAGGCAAAGCTGTTCCACTGTCAGAATTAACATGCAGAAGGGAGTGGGGGCGTTCGAAAACGAGTCAGGTAGGAGTCACTGCCGAAAAAGGAGCGGAAATTATCCTAACCTGGCTTCCCTATCCAGGGAGAAATCCATGAGAACAGAGCCTCAGCTTGAGCTGTCTGAAAACAGGTCCCTTAAGATGAGAGTACTCAGGGACAGAAGCTCCATTACAAGACATCTTTTCACCAGGCTCCTCCTGAGGCAGAAGCCCAGCCTGTGGCCACTGACATGGGGATTTATTGGGTGTGAATTTCGATTGATGGATGGGGTTTTGTGTGGTGCTGGGGATGGAATCTAGGCCCTGTGCATGCTGACCATGTGTTCTACTACAGATCTACATCCCTAAGCTTGGGAATTTTGTTATTTAAAATCTTAGAGCCAGGTATAGGTTCTAACCTTTAATTTTAGCAAATAGACATTTTTTACATGAAAATTTCAAGACCCCTGTCAGGCGAGAGGAGAGCAGATATGAGTATTCTTTTTAAAGGAGGTACTGGAATAAAGGCCAGTCCTTGCTGGAACAGGCTGTTTCACGGCAGAGCACAGGGTGTCTGAAGCCCCCAGAGCACTGCCTCATGTAGTTGGGGTCTCCGCTGTGTCCTGTCTGCAGGTCACCCCTTCTCAGCTAGCAGCCAGTAGATGTGGGCCTGAGTGGTCATATGCTGGGGCTTGGGCCAGACAGGCTCCAGGGGGAGCAGCCCTGTGACAGATGGGGTTACAGCAGACCTTGTGGATGACTTGGTAACCCAGGGCAACCCTGGGTGTGTTTTCAGCAGGAGTCACCCTAGGAGTCTCACTAGTCCCATGCAGAGCTTTCCCCCAGCCTTCCCTTCTGCTCCCTGGGGAACTGGTGGGCCTGGTGATGCTGCCTGCCATCTGTGCTGTTCAGCTGCTGCCCCATCCGGAGTGACTGGAAAAACTTGTTTCTGGCGTGGCAGCTGCTGTGCTCCCTTGTGCTCTTGCAGACAGACCTGGTGTGATTTGGTCTCACTGACTCTTGCCCTTGACCCAGGAGTGCAAGATGGGCCTGGCTCATAGTGGCCTTAGAAGCACAAACCATGGCAGTGTGATGAGGAGACTCAGAGCAATAGGAGGGTGTTGAGGTTGTCAGCTTGGTCACTGAGGACTTGGCTGGGGGTCTCTTGGGGCAGGGACAACACAGCTGTGAGAAAAGAGCCTGGCCATGTTCAATCGCAGGACTTGTGCTGAGCAGCCCCACCTACTTCAGGTGCCTTCCGAGAGTTAGGGTGTTGGGGTATGACCCGTCTTGCTGTGATCACATTTGCATGGAGGTGACAGCTGCTTTGTGTCTGGAACCAGTCAGGTTGCACAGGGAAGGGCGCTGCAGTTTAGTGATGCCCATGAGAATTTCGTGGCTTCCGGCAGATCACTTCCTTTCTTGTTCTGTTCCGTCCTGTGTTAAAGCACAGGCCTACCAGGAACCCATGTGCAGATATGCCAGAACAGCACCAGGCCCCGATGTGCTGAGGGTCCAGTGGGATACAGCTCTTGTTCCTCAGCCTAGTGCTTTATAAAGTGGAGCTGGGGGCCCACATGGTGTTTTGCCACCCAGTTTCCCCTAGCTGGGATCTTCCTTGCTGGTCTCCTCCCCTACCTGAACAGTCTTGTCCAGGCACATGTCCTCTGGGTCTCTCCAGAAGTCTGTGAATCAGGTCTCCACCCTGCCAGTGCAGTTGCCATCTGCAGAGTGGGCTGCTGGCCTGTGGTGACCGCTGATTCCGATTCTGCTAGCATTTCTTCAGTGTCCTCACCATTGTTGGCTGCCCCTTCCATGGACAACCTGGTCGCTGGGGCCTGGCACACAGATGTGCATGTGTGCTTGGGCAGGGAGTGGTCCAGCCCCCACTTGTCTTGTCCTGCACATGCTGAGTGCCTACAATATACCAGACATGTGCCTCTTTTAACACACCCCACTTCCTGGCTTGGCTCTGTGACTTGTCCCTAATTCATTGAGGAATAGGAGTGGGCTGAGTCCTGGGTGAGCAGGAAAGCTGCAGCTGGGTACAGAGGCAGCTGAGTGCAAGCTGGGGTGGTGGGGGGATGAGAGCCTGGGCCCCTGCACCTCCCCAGGCTCAGGCTGCAGAGCTCTCAGCAGGCAGACTGAGGAGGGCGGAGACGACCACGAGTGCCCAAAGTCTGGTGACCTGAGATAAGCCCAGTGTCAGTGAGTGTCAGAAGCTCATCCAAGAGCTGGCCAGGGTGTCAGCTGGCAGCCTGCCACTTTCCAGGACAGCTGTTCCGAGAGCGAGGAGCTGGCACAAAGGAGTCTTAGCCCTGTAAATCTGTGTTCCTCCCCCACTGCCACAGCAGGTGCTATGCCTCATAACAGCACCCTTGCTAGCAGTTGCTTCTCTTCCTGGGGTGCATCCTTTACCACGTTGGCCCACAGAGGGCCAGGGCAGGGAGCCCATGGGTGGCTGGGCCTTGGTGGGGACTGCTTCTGCCTCCTCTCCCCCGAGTCAGCCCAGCTGGATGCTGGGCATCCTTTACTTCCTGCTTAGTTATAGAGCGTGCATGCATGTGAGAGAATAACACTGTTCTGGACTCCTGTTTTGTTGACCTGTCCTCTCCTGTTGTACCACCTCTGCTGTACCACCTCTGCATGCTATACTACATGGGTTTGTTGGTTTTTGGTTTTTGTGGGTTTTTTTCTGTTTTTGGAGATAGGGTTTTGCTATACAGTTCAGAACTGTATAGCCTTGAACTTACTTTGTAGCCCAAACTCAAGGCAGTCTTCCTGTCTCAGCCTCCCAAGTGCTGGGATTATGGGAGCATGCCCAGCATCCCTTCCTTTGTCCTACTGCTTCAGGCTCCCAGCTAAAAGTCTAGACCCATGTTGCATCGTGTACGTTTTGGTGTCTTGTCTAGGCCCCCACAGGCTTTTCAGAATTGGATGAAACCAACAGACTCCCAGAGCAGCAGTCAGACACCTCTGTGTGCATGTACGTTTAGGGACATTTGGGGACTTCTGGAGGCCCAGCGATAGGCCTGGCTCAGAGCCTCTGTTCAGGTGTCTCCCTGAGAGTGAGGTTGCTGTTGGTGCCCACTGTAAGCAGGCGCCAGGTATCTGCTTCCTGGTGCCAGTGCTGTCCTGCAGGGGAAAGCCCTGCAGCCTACTCAGGTCCTCTGCCCCCTGCCCTTCTCACCCTCCCTCCCCAACAGCCTCTCCTGAGATGCACTAAAACAGTGTTTTTAAAAAAGCCACTCTGAGAGCTCATTTCTATCTGTTAGAAGTTGCCACCCACTCATGCTTTTCTGTCCTCCAAATAACTCATCAAAAGAGCCTTTCCCAAATTTAAAATCTTGGAAGAGATAGTACAACACAGGTAGCCCAGCTCCTCCTCCCAGTGCCATCTTGGGGTATCTTTTGGTGAACCCTGCAATTTGAAGGGCTAGGGGCAGGCAGGAGCAAGGATGGAAGGTGCTGAGAGCAGAGGACTGTGCCAGCCATCTGCGGAGGGCAGGACAGGGCAGGGCAGGGTACAGCACAGCACACACCGCCTCCCTCAGTGGAGGCCTAGGGCAGTGGTGTGGGGTAGTCTGCTCAAGAGACCTGCAGTGATAGAGGGTGGGGCCAGCAGAGCCCAGGCTCCCTGCCACCCCCAGGGCAGCCTCACCGTGACCCTCACCTCTGTCCTCTGAGATTGGGGCCTTGCTGAGTAGCCCAGAATGCCTGTAGGAACCTGGCTATCAGTGCCAGCTGTGCCCTGTCCCTGTAGCTGCTGCAAATCTGGAGGTACAGTGGCAGCCCCAGAGAGAACGGCTTCCCATTGTGTCCCACTGGGCAGAGAAAAATCAGTCTGGCCAGAGCCAGGACACAGGCCTGGCAGCCCTGGGCACCTGCCCCTCCCTGCCAGCCTGTATCTGCTGCCTCTCCTTCACTGTTGTTTCTCCCCCCAACGCTGTTTCTTTTGTCCTCCTAGAGGCCATCAACTGTTTGATGAGAGCCATCGAGATCTACACAGACATGGTAAGGCGCCCCTTTAGCATCCCCGCCTTAGCACCTAAGCAGGATTCTTGTTCTGCCACAAAGCAGGCAGGCAGTGGGAGCCCATGAGATTTGGCCACTTAAACTGGGCCAGTGGCCCCTCCCTCCTGTCCTTCTGCCATCCTCCTGGGCCATCATGTCTTGTGTTTGCTGGACTTACAGTTCAGGATGCGGTGGGGTTTTGTGCCTGCCCATGTGCACATGTGCACGCGCGCTTGTGCACATACACACATGCACGCACGCACGCACGCTCTCTCCAAAGCACTGACCCCTTGTCTGCCTTCCCCACCATCAGAGTGGCAATTCACGGTAGTGCAGAAGGCCAGGCTGGGTGGGAAGCTCCTGCTATGGGCCACCTGTGTCAGCCCTGCCCTATGGGAGGACAGATCCCTGCCCTTCTGCTGTGTCACAGCAAGCAGTGCTGCTGTGATCACCCTAACAGGGGTAGCAGAACCACTAAGCCAAACACCACAAATGGTTGACTGTGCCTGCTCTGTGGTACTGAGCTCTCAAGAGCCCATATGACCGCTGAGTGAGGGAATTCAAGGGACAATGGCTCACCCAGGAACACAGACCTCCAAGCAGGAGTTGCTGAGACCCAGAACTAGGTCTGGCTGGACACAGGACCTTGCCCTTTCCACCGCCATTGGTGAGGGATGAACAGCAGTAGAGGCAAGCAGAGGGTGTCGGGTGCCCCTTGGGAGGACCCCTTGGGGTACACTGGGCATGGGCAGGGGAGGCTTCAGAATGGGGCACTAGTCTTGAAACCCTTGGTCCTGGTTTCACAGAGCATTTTACTCAGTGACTCTGGGCCAGTTGTCCCTGCCTCTACCCCAGGCAGGGCTCCACCCAACTCCTCTGCAGACATCAGTGCCCCTGTGTTGTAGACAGGGTAGAAACAGGCCAAGACACAGGGGGCTGGCAGAGGTGGCCCACGCAGTGCCCAACCTGGTGGCAGTCACCATGCCCACCGTACAGACCTCACTCGTGCTGAGGTGGTAGGCTGAGGAGGGAGCTGTAGGCAGGGAGTGTCACTGCAGCCCCTCGTTGTGTCCCCTAGGGCCGATTCACGATCGCAGCCAAGCACCACATCTCCATCGCCGAGATCTACGAGACGGAGCTGGTGGACATCGAGAAGGTGAGCGGGTGATGGCTGGGACCCAGGCTGCTTCCCTGGCTGTGCACCCAGACCATCCCCTAGTTTTGGCAGAGCCTGGGCCCAGCATGTCCCAGGAGTGGTGGCTGAGGGTGGAGGAGGCCATACGGCATCCAGTCCACACCTAGTCATGTCTCCCCAGGCCATCGCCCACTATGAGCAGTCTGCAGACTACTACAAAGGCGAGGAGTCCAACAGGTAGCCCGGCCCTGCGCCCAGCCCTGCCCGACACAGGACTTGCTGCCCCTCCCTCATGCCCCTCTCCTTCCCACAGCTCAGCCAACAAGTGTCTGCTGAAGGTGGCGGGCTACGCTGCACAGCTGGAGCAGTACCAGAAAGCCATCGACATCTACGAGCAGGTGGGCGTGGGGCCTTCCCCATCCTCGTGCCTCTTGCTGCATCCTCACTCTCAAATGTGTCCCTCACCTCCAGCTCACCTGGCTTTCTCCACTCAGCCTGTGTTGTCATCCCCTCTCCCAGAGGTGTTCAAAGGCCTCAGAGCAGGGCAGCCTTGCAGGACCCATGGGGAGATGAGGCTGGGAGTGGTAGAGCGGGGACCACTTGTCCTCAGTGGGAGGCAGGGAGTGTCACATGAGCCCCCCTCTCCTGGGTGGGAAGGAGAGTGGGTGCTGCCTCTCATGTTCTCTCACCTGCCACCCCTCTGCCCACTGTGTGCCAGCTTCCCATGAGGCCTGACAGCAAGATGCCGCCTCCCCGACTTCTCAGGCATCTCAGGAGGCCTATGGACACCTGGCTGCTCTCCCACATACACCCTGGCCCTGGTCACTTGTGCTCCGAGCCTCCTCTTTGGGTTGGTCCTTAGCTTACTGCCCCAGGGTCCCTGTCCTGAGCTCATAGTGCCACTTCTACATGGCCACAGGTGGGGACCACCGCCATGGATAGCCCCCTGCTCAAATACAGTGCCAAGGACTACTTCTTTAAGGCGGCGCTCTGCCACTTCTGCATTGACTCGCTCAACGCCAAGGTGAGCCCCGCCTAGCGCTCCCGTGCAGCTGCCAGGTCGCTTCCTGCAGCTTGAAAGGGCCAGCTTCTCCCTCCATGTGGCCTGTCAGTCTCAGGACACAAGGCCCTAGCTGTCCTCCTGGGATTCCACCCTGGTGTTCCCTGTCAGGCCCTGGAGGCTGTTAAGTTCCCACCTTTCAGCTGGGTCAATGCCAGACCCTTTCCTTTTGCAGTTTTCAATCCTTTATCCCATGAGGGCAGCACCAGTGTCAGCTCATCTTGCCCATGGCGACACTGAGGCTGAGTTCTTCACTGAGGCCGAGTGGGGACCAATGAACTGCAGCCCAGCATCCCAGACCCTGTGACCCCAGGGCGTGGCTGTGACCCTGATGGAGGCTGCAGGCCCTCCCCAGTGTCAGGACTTGGGAGAGATGCAGTGGAAAAGCACGGGGGAGCCCTCCAGGAGTCCTCTTGCCTCACAGGAGTTCCCTACCTGACCCCAGGGACGCTGCAGGGCCCAGGGCTCCCTCACATCTGCTTCCAGAAGGGTTCTGTGACTTGGGGCTGTTAAAGTAGGGGCAGTTGGTGCTACAGATGGAGCTCAGGCCTGGTCTGTACTAGGCAGTGCTCTCCTCCTGAGGCCCCACGCTTGGGTTTTGTATTCACAGTCACCCCTGCCCTCCCTGGAGCTGTTTCTCCATTTTCAAAATGAGCTCGCTATCAGTCCAGCCCCAGGTCCTTGCCAAGGGTGGAATGTGTGCAGTACCCAGCTTGTGGCCTGGCACAAAGACATGCTCCTTTGTGTACTTTCCTGGCACAGACAGGCAGGGAGGTGCTGGGAACTTGGCCGGGAAACTCTGTCCCTCTCTACAGCTATCTCTGCCACCAGCCTGGTGCTGAGCTCAACTCCATGGAGATGCCCCCAGGCACAGTGCCAGCTGACAGCGTCAGACAGCAGGGGAGGAGGGCAAAGTGCTGACTCAGGGCTACAGCCCTCCCTGGGTCCCCAATGCCAGCCGGCTGTCTCCAGCGGCCCCTTCACGAGCTTGTCCTCTCCTTCCCTCCCTGCTGCCCAGCTTGCTGTCCAGAAGTACGAGGAGCTGTTCCCGGCCTTCTCTGACTCCCGGGAGTGCAAGCTGATGAAAGTGAGTGGGGACTTGGAGATGACCGGGGCACACCTGCCTACAGTGGCCGGCCGGGGAGGGGTAGTTTCTGAGCTCCAGGATTTGTCCAGCAGCTCCCCAGGGCTTGTGTCATATTTCCTTTCTCTGCTGTTCTCCTCTCCCTGTTTTAGATGAGAATAGCGGGTCCAGTGGTGGCACTGGGGGCGGGGCTTGGAGCTGGGGTTGGCATCTGCGCAGATCACATGGGATACCAACACGCCACGCTCTGCTGTCCGGGTGCAAGCCCCCATTCCTGCTCAGCCCTTGGTGCTAACCTGGGCCAGGCCTCTGACCCCTGGCCCTCACTCCCCATACTCTTTGCTCACAGAAGTTGTTGGATGCCCACGAGGAACAGAACGTGGACAGCTACACAGAGTCGGTGAGTGGCCGCATGGGCGGCTGAGTCCCTGGGGCAGGCTGCCCTCCAGTTTTTTCTATCTCTGGCCTGTGGGCCATTTCTGTGATTGCCCTTCCTCAGTCGCCCACCACAGAATGCCCACAGGCAGCCCTGGGAGTTACACGGGATGTTCACTGACTTTGTAGATGATGCACTGAGGTTTAGGGGGGAAGGGCACCTGGCCTTGTCCCCAAGGGATCCACAGCCCCTCCACTCTGCCCCTGAAAGCCACGGTCTCCTTATTCGCCGAAGTTCCCTGGGGAGAACAGTGGGCTGGCTTGGGTTGGGCACTATGAGTACCCTAGGAGAAGCAGCTGGCAATGGAGAGGAAAAAAGGAGCCAAGGACCCCCCCCCCCCGGAACCGTTCACCTCACCAGTGTGGACCTCTTCTGTTCCTGGCAGTGTTCTGAACATTCTGGAACTCAGCTGCACCAGGTTGCAGTTCTGTTCCTGAGTCTCTCCCTGGTCCCAATAAGGGCAGAACAGCCCGCTACACCCCACCTGCCAGGATGGAAGGGCACGAGGGCCCGGCCTCTGACCCACCCTTAGACAAGGAAGCTGCAGTTTTGTTTTTCTTGTTTTTCAAACTGCATTTCTCCCTGAGGAAACGTTAGGCCGGGGTAGTAAAGACACAAAGCAGCTTCCCCAGTGGGGGCCCCACGCTCCTGCTGGGAGACCCAGGGAGACAGCGGCTGGGAACCTCAAGCTGCTGGGTTGGGCTGGTGGGGCCGAGGCCCGATGCAGTGCCTTCCGCGGTGCCGGCAGGTGAAGGAGTACGACTCCATCTCCCGGCTGGACCAGTGGCTCACCACCATGCTGCTGCGCATAAAGAAGACCATCCAGGGCGACGAGGAGGACCTGCGCTAGGCTGTCGCCCACTGTTCCTGCTGGCTGGTGCGTGCAGCAGTGGTGGACTGAGCCTGCTCAAGACCTTTCTCCTTACCCACCTGGGGACTCCCATGGGCTACCAGGGCAGTGGTGCGGCTCAGCAGCACCTCAGGGCACCAGAGGCCCGGCCACTGGCCACTCACCTCTGCTCTCGCTACAACCCTCGCCCCTGCCTGTCTATTTAAGCCCCTAACGTGTCCTCCACCCCAGTCAGCTGTAGCAGTTTGATACAGACCCCTGTGTGAGCACTGCTGGGCATCAGGGGTCAGCATCTGTGCCCAGCGCAGGAGCAGCCAAATCTCGTGGCTGGTGTCTACCCCCACTTTGGCCCCTGGCAGAGCTCTAAGCACAAGTAGCCACTGAGACCTCCTCTCACCACCAAGGGTGGCTTTGTCCTGCACCCTGGCCTCCTGTCTCAGGTTAGACCACGGCCCCAGCACCCAGAGGGTTTTTCCCCAGACCCACTCTGCGCTGCTCCTCCCTTGTGCTTGAGGTTTGGTCCGGGGTTCGGAAGCTCCAAATGCCCCAAGAAGGAAAATAAAAATTGCCACTTTTGCATGAGTCTCTTCCTCTTTGCCCCTGCTCCTGAGGTCTTGTGGGGCATGGGGCACATCCTCTGGACAGGCTTGGCCTGGAAACAGACCGGATGGATCCCAGTGCCTGAACTCTTAAGACCTGGGATCCTGAGCCACTGGCGGGTGGGATGTAACAGCTAGCAGCAGTGTTTGGGGAAAGGGCTGGAAGAGGCCCATGACTCCTCTCCCTCACCCGCACTCCCCTAGCAGGCAGGCTGAACATCCCAGTGACAGTTGTCCCATCCGTCACCTGGGAGAGGAAGCAGCCTTGGTGAGCAGAGTATGAGGCCAAGTGGGTGTAAAGGGTGGGAGGAGACAACAGGAACCCTTTGCCCAGCGAAAGTGGACAGGAATTGGCCACCTCAGCCACATGTCACCATTGAGTTGCCTGAGGTACACAGCCAGGTACTTGCGTGCCTGGGCTGGGTGCCCTCCCAGAGGATGACCTGGCTGGTCAGAGCCAGACTGGCACAGCAGTGTGGGATATACGGGAGCAGTCATGGGAGGGACAGGGTGGGCCAGTGAGGAGGCTCCTGAGAGTGGTGCTTCCCGCATAGGAGCCGGGGCAACGTTTCCTTGTGCACAGGAGGGCATGACCCAGAACCCTGCCCTCCTCTGTCCCTCCTGCGCCTCCCACCGTCAGTTGATAATGGCTCCTCCCAACTCTGAAGACTCAGAACTGGCAGGCAACAAGGATGTGCCCTCTCCCTGCAGGGGGGACATTACCCAAGGAGGCACGGGCACAGGGTCCCCATCCCTTTCCTGGCATTCCAAGGACCAAGAGGTACACATAGGACAACTGGTGGCCTGTGAGGAAATGGGCCTGCATTATGCCTGTCCCTCCCATTCACTGTGGTACCCACAAGGACTCAACTCTTGAGTTCCCACTTTACCCTGTCAAGTGGGACAATGTCTCTGTAGAGCTCTAGCAAGGATTCTCTGAGTAAAACTTGTGACCCATGTGGCATCAGGTAAAAGCCCAATAAATGAACAAGGGGGAGTAACAGCAGGTCCCTGTGGCATGATTGCTTAGGAATCAAGAACTGGAGCCAGTGTGACTGTCACCACACAGGGCTCAGTAAAGGAGGTGGCTGTTTGCCACTGGGACAGCTGGCTGGGTCTTGTCTTTGGGTTAAAACACATTTCCGACTTTAAAAGGTGATATTATGGGGTCAGGGATTTAGCTCAGGGTGTAAGTGCCTGCCTGGCAAGCGCTAGGTGATGAGTTCAATCCCCCGTACCAAAAAAAAAAAAGTAATGTTATGAAAATAATTAACTGTGGAGTTACCGTTTTGGGGCTCCAATATCGATTGCTTTTGGCAGCCGGTGGCCTTAGGTAAGTTACTTTACCTCTGTACCTTAATTTCTTCATCTGTAAAATGGGTAAGACACTTCTCAGCCTGTTAGTTGTGAGTAAACTATTGGATGGAACATACTTAGAGTAATTACAGGGAAAATAAGGGGAATATTTTTGAGCTCTCTTAACCCACCTCTCACATAGCCTGCTTGGCGTGGGGAGTGACCTCCCAACTCTGGGCGCATTCCTGGCGCCCCTTTCCCAGGCTCTGGACTGGGGAGGAGCACGCAGGCGCGTTGGGACTAAATTAAATGAGCGGGGTGGGCGCCATATTGTTAGAGGGCAGTGACTGTGGCTTCTTTACGTCATCAGTCTGCGCGTCGGGCCGGCACTTGATAGTTCAGATCACTTGTAGTGTCCACAGCGCGCCCTGCAAAGGGGCGCGATGGGAGAAGCGGCCGTGGCCGCGGGGCCTTGTCCCCTGCGCGAGGACAGCTTCACACGCTTCTCGTCGCAGAGCAATGTGTACGGGCTAGCAGGCGGCGCCGACGGGCGTGGGGAGCTACTGGCCGCCACTCTTAAAGGCAAAGTGCTTGGCTTTCGCTACCAAGACCTCCGGCAGAAAATCCGACTGGTGGCCAAGGAGCTGCAGTTCAACTACATCCCCGGTGCGTGGCGCTGTGGAGCGGGTGGGGGTTGTCTTCTTGGAATGAGGCCTAGGAGACGGTGTTGAAACCTAATCTCCATGATGGAAGATTGGGATTGAGTGATTAAACAGAGTCAAAGCTAATAGTTTTTTGGGTCTGGACAGGAATAATAGGGGCCTAAAAGTGTTTAGGGTTCAGAATTCATGAAGCATAGATGTCAGTGTTGAGCATGGTGGTGCACAACTGTAATCCTAGCTGCTTGGTACGCCAAGGCAGGAGGATCACAAGTTTGAGGCCACCCTGGGCAACCCAGCAGCTTAACAAGACCTTGTCTCAAAATAAGACGTAAAAAAAAAAGTTTGGGAATGTAGTTCAGTGCAAAGGCCCTGGGTTCAATCCCCAGTCCCACAAAAAAAAAGAAGGGGGAACCTAGTAACCATTTGTCACAGGTCATGGTGATGGTGATCAGAGATCAGAAGTCACCATATGGGGTACCAAAGGCCCCAAATGTTTTTAATTGTCCCCTCTCAGTGGATGCAGAAATTGTCTCCATCGACACCTTCAACAAGTCACCCCCAAAGCGAGGCCTGGTAGTGGGGATCACATTCATCAAGGTACTGAAAGCACCCTCTGCTTACCCAGGCCCTTCTCCCCACACACAGGGGTCCCAGTAGTCTGCCCCTAACCCTTCCTGCTGCCCCTGAGGTCACTTTGCTCCCACAGGATTCTGGGGACAAGGGCAGCCCCTTCCTTAACATTTACTGTGACTACGAGCCTGGCTCTGAGTACAACCTGGACTCCATTGCCCGTGAGTGTGGCGTGGGGCTGGGGGGTGGGAGTGGGGCCTGCCCGGTGCCAGCCGCCCATCTGCCTGTGTCCCTCTGCAGAGAGCTGCCTGAACCTGGAGCTCCAGTTCACACCTTTCCAGCTGTGCCACGCAGAGTGAGTGTCCCTGGCACCCTGGTTCTCAGACCCCTTCTTATACCAGGAGTGTGTTTTCACATCTGGAAAATAAAAGGATCGTGCTAGATCACAGATTGAAAAGTAGAATGGCTGTAGGGGTCAGAGAGGCAGCAGGAGAGTGGGAAGCTCGCACTGCAGTGGAGTAGGCAGCATGGTAGGGGTGCCACAGCAAACGGGAGACCACACCTGCCCATAGCCAGGTTGTATTGTTCTCTTTTAGAGCCTTGTGCTTCTAAAGCGAGCATGGACCAGACAGCCAGGGGCCACCATCTTGTCATCTCCTAGGCTGATCATCTGAGAGAGTTCACTAAACAGCTGTATGCTAGACAGCTAGAATTTGTAGGTTCTAAGGTTCTAGATTCAACATTCTCAGAGGTGCTGAGTTTTCTTTCTTGTTTTTGTTTTTCGAGAAGAGGTCTTGCTATATAATCTAGGTTGACCTCAAACTAGCACCTATCCTCCTGTCTCAGCCTCCTGAGTGCTGTGAATACAAGTGTGTACCACTGGGCCCAGCTGCTGAGTTTTGTAGAGCTGTAAGATCTAAGGGTCCAAGAGGTGAAGGTTCTACAATTCTATAGAAGTCAGAGTCTTCTGAGATTCTGTATAAGGTCCTGCCATTCTTATACTGCAGAGACCCAAAGTAAGGACCATCTGGAACCCTGAAGTTCTAGAATCCCAAGTATATGGGTTCCGCTCCAGTGCTTGTGCAACACTAATGGTCTAACAAGGCAAAGTTGGAAATCTTTTTTTGTGGGAGGGAGGGCTGCAAAATTTTTAATAAAGGCTCAAGTAGTAAATATTATTGAATACTAGACTTGGAGAGCCAGACAGCCTCTACCACACCTACTTAGCTCTGCCATTGTAGCAAGTAAGCAGCCACCAAAAAAAAAAAAAAAAAAAAAAAAAAAATGCAGCCACTGACACAGTTTAAATGCTTGTGTTCCGGGAAAACTTTATTTACAAAGGACCAGGGTGTAGCCAGTGGTAGAATGCTTGCTTACCATGTGCAAGGCTCTGGCTTCAATCCCCAGCACTTAAAAGGAAAATTTTGTTTACAACCCAGCTATTCCCCTACTGGATATCGTCCCAGAAGAATTAAAAACATCATACCACAGTAATATATGTGCACCCATATTTATAGCAGCACAATTTGTAATACTAAATTTTGGCAACAACCCAAAAGTCCATCGACTGAGGAGTGGAGAAAAAAAGATGTGATCTTGGGGCTGGGGATTTAGCTCAGTGGCATAAGTGCTTGCCTTGCAAGCAGGCAGTTGTGAGTTCGATCCCTGGTACCGATAAAAACAAAAAAGGCAAAAAAAAAAAAAAAGATGTGATCTTTTTATACAGTGGAGTACTACTCAGCCATAAAGAAGGATAAAACTAGAGACGTTAGTGGGTAAACAGATACAACTGGAGACCATACTCTTAAGTAAAATAAACCAGGCACACTTGTTTCCCTAGTGTGAGAAGCTGAGAGAGGAAATAAGTTACAAAATGTACAATAGGTATTATAAAATGGGAAAAAGCTTTAAAAGGAAAGAGAAACTGGGACAGTGGAATGAAGAAAAGAAAGGAAAAGCAGGGGCTGGGGATTTAGCTCAGGGGCATAAGCGTGTGCCTTGCACGCAGGCGGTCGTGAGTTCAATCCCCGTTACCGATAAAAATGAAAAAGACAAAAAAAAAAAAAGAAAGGAAAAGCAATATATATATATATATATGTTAAGATAATTACACTAGAGATTTCTCTTAGTTCATTGAAAAGAATGTTTTTGCTAACATCATTTGGACAAGTGAATGCCAATATTTTGTACGCTGAGTAACTACTTTGAAGATAATACACAATATATTAACCATTGTTATCCTCTATCTTGTTGTGAAGGTTTCTTTTCTCTTTAAAATAAATTTTTCTATTTATAAAAATTGACAGTAAACTCAGGCTTGGTGGGACAGACCTATAATCCCAGCACACTGTGGGGGTGAGCCAGGAGGATCACAGGTTCAAGACCAGCCTGCAGTCTACAGCAGTTTAGTGATTAGTGAGTTCCTATCTCAAAATTTAAATTTTTTTTAA